GTTGCTAAAATACAAAATCAGAATAATAAAAAACATAAAATCACATCCTTTTTAAATTGGCTTACCTCTGTCTCCGAACACAGTCATCAGTTTGGCGAACAGAAGCCCCATCCCCGAAGGCAGTGAGTTTAAAAGGCCGGTTTTGTCAATCTCTCACACTGAGTTTTCAGAATTCGCCGAGCGCTGGAGTTAAGTCGTTCTTCTGGTTCCTTTGATTCTTTAAATCTGGGTTGTAAATACTTTACTACGTTAAAACAATGATCCAACGATCGATAGTATTCCCCTTTTGCTTGTTGCTCTTTATTCTCAAACAGATGCCAGAATTTAGAGTCGAAACGTTAGGAGATTCTTTCCCTGAGTGTCTGTGGTTTAATCGTCTGGTGTCGGTCTAATCTGCTCCGATACAGTAACCCGGGTCGGAGTACGGAGTCTCGTCGTGTTTTTCGTGTGCGTCTGCACTCCGCGCATTTAAACGACGTGTGATGACGCAGAGGCCGCGTCACGCGTTTCAGGGGTGGATTAAACGACAAACCCTAATTGGACGCCCATGGCGATGACGCAGTTTTCCGTACCGTTCCTTTTATTCGTATTTGGAACGGGGCGGGGCGTTCTTACAGGGGAATTTGAGAGGAAGTTTAATGGAACTCTAATCAGAAAGTAAAAGAGAGCCCAAGGAATTCCCTGGACTCTCTGTAAATTAGTTTCTGTTACATGATCTTCTTTCTGATATAAAATCAGATATTGTCTTATATAACTGACTCAAATCAATAACCTTACTTGACATTTTCTTCTGACCTCAGTGACCTGTGCGATTCTTTATCAACCCTTATACAACCAGAAATCAATCACAGACAGAACAAAACACCAACCAAAACAATATCATTGACGGTAGTATATTGATTTGAAATGTTGAACTTCAAAAAACAAAATCAAATATAGGCTATGTGACCCTGGACCACAAAATCAGTCATATAGGTCAGTTTTTTTAAAATTGAGATTTATACCTCATCTGAAAGATGAATAAATAAGTTTTTCCATTGATGTATGGTTTGTTAGGATTGGACAATATTTGGCCGAGGTACAACCATTTGAAAATCTGGAATCTGAGGGTGCAAAAAAACCCCCAAAAAACAAAACATCAGAATGTTGAGAAAATCACCTTTAAAGTTGTCCAAATGAAGTCCTTAGCAATGCATATTACTAATCAAAAATTAAGTTTAGATATATTTATGGTAGGGAATTCACAAAATATCTTCATGGAACATGATCTTTACTTAATATCCTAATGATTTTTGGCATAAAAGAAAAATCGATAATTTTGACCCATACAATGTATTGTTGGCTATTGCTACAGATATACCTGTGCGACTTATGACTGGTTTTGTGCTCCAGGGTCACATATTATCACCAGAATATAGCAAGTAATGAAACCACATCGTTTCCATAATGTCATGTGTTCTGCTCTTTCTGTTCCTCTTGATGTGATCTGAGCATGAGTTTCCTGTTGTCACTGTTCTTCTAAGAGTGTTGAGCTGAATCAGGTTTCTTGCACACCCACACCTGAGGCCTTGTGTTTACACAGAATGAGTCTGTGTTTTGAACACTTTGGGTATAGCCGACTTAAATGCCATGGTATGCGGAATAATGTGACACAATGTGAGAACATCTGCTACAAGAAGAACAGAAGCATGCAACGCACAGAGTGCATGCAGATCAGCGTGCAAATGCACGAGTGTGGTTAAGTGTCATCCGCATGTCTGGGCAAGAATTGTGTAAAGTCTTGTTGTGGTGTGGTGTTTTTTCATGTACCACCTGTGAACAGAAACCGTTGTTGGTTCAGGTGAAGACGTTTGTGTTCAGACAACAAGGAAGAAAGAAAATATATCATTTGCATAATCACAAATTCCAGACAATGCAATCATATTTTGCATGTTATGAAAGAAATATAATAATGAAAATTGTGTCATCATTTGTTCCAAACCTATATGAACCAAACAGCAGCCACTGACTTCCATAGAATTGAAAAATAAATAAATACCATGGAAGTCAATGACTACTATCAACTGTTTGGCTACCAACATTCTTCAAAATATCTTCCTTTGTGTTCAACAGAAGAAAGAAACTCATACAGATTTGCAACAAGTGGAGAGTGAATAAATGATTACATAATTTTCATTTTTGGGTGAACTATCCCTTTAAGACTGTTTGCATGATCAGCATGTAATATACAGTTGACTCGTGTGAATTCAGGGGTTCGACTGTAAACCAGGATTGCCCCCATAAATGAGATCTGATAGCCATCTTTTCAATTCTTCCTCATGCCCCGCTGTCTCTATCCTGCATTGTTTCCTCGCTCCTTTCTTTTTGTGTTCTTCCTGACCCCCCACCACCACATACTCTTTCTCACCCATCACTTCACACCATTACCTCATTCCCCTCTATTTATCACTTCACTTTGCCATCCCTTCTTCTCGTGTTTCTCACAAGTCCCTAGTGGATCTATACCAGTATCCCTATACCAGATCTATACCTTTTTGTCTCAACGAGGCTCCAAAACAATATTTTAAAGCCTCCCCTGCATTTACGCTAACATACTTCTGGTATCTCTGTTGTAATTAAGACAAAGTTGCTTTTTTCATTTTTAATTGATATATTAAATGTATAAATGTGGCTAATTAGGTAAACATATTAAAAATACATAATATTTTATTATGATTATATTTAAAATTTCATATACCAAATTACGGAACCATTATAATTCCCGAATTTATATTCTGTATTCAAGAACTGTATGTTCTTCAATAAAACCAAAAGTTATTGAAGGAAAATAAAAATTAATTTGTTTTCAGCTTGCATCTTTATTTTTTTAGCATTTCAATTTGGATTAGAATTTTATTATTTCATTATATTAATTTATAAAGTTAACTCATTTTAAGTCATCCTTGGATGGTCACTGAGGCCCCTTGGTTGAGAGTTACTGATACCTTTCATCCATATTTATCGGTGACTAAATGAAATGAAAATAGCAAAGGCACAGGAAACAGTTGATCCAGATTAAAAATTTTAATTAAAATATGAATTTATCCACAGATTAAAAACAAAAAGTAAAATGGAGCTACAATCAGGCACCAAAGAATACGTCTGTTTTCCTTATATTTTGAAACAATTGCGATAATGCAACAATAACATTATTTAGTAAGCTATCTACTTGTATATTTAGCGAATTTCATCATGATGATCTTTTCAAACATAGGTGAGGGTAAAAAGAGGCTCCAAGGCTCAGGTTACATAAAATAGTAAAGACTCCAGATTTTCTCCCATTTCATACACACACACATACACATACAGTCCTGGCTTAGAAATTGGCCACAGAGACAACAACACAAAAAGCAGTAGCATTAGCATGAATTTGGCAGTGGGATATGTGTACGTACGTCAGCTTCTCAGCCTGTGAAGTGAATCCTTAAACTGTCATGCAATAAACAGCTTGTTTAATCTTCAAATGGCTAGCAGTGCAAACATGTCGCTATGATAAGGTTAAATGGCAGTGTAGACTACTATCACACAACAACAACAACTATATGTGTTGCACTGAGTTAAGACAACCCACCATGTTTATGGTGGGAGTGGCCTGATGAGAGATTACGGCACTTGTGATTGGTTGGCCTGTGTGACTGACGTGCAAATAAGGCAGAATATGTTTCCAATGGCAGTGGTACACTAGCGGCACAAATGCTAAAAGCCCTTGAGCAGGCACAGAAGACGGGACAGAGCCGGTTACAATCAACACAAAGCTATTTGTGTTCAACTTTAGCGGTGGTCTCAAACATTTTGGGCTTTTAGTTTTAAAATTTGACCCTCTTAATTGTCTTATTTATATTTGCATATTAGCATTTTAGAACTGCTAGCGGGTCTGGATTAACATCTGTTGATACACTTTAGCGCTTTTTAGCCCTATTAAACTATAGCATGTGAGCACCACAGCACCCCTTGTGGACTGGAGGAGTACACAGCAGCGGTGGAGCTCGGTAAAGGTTTTAGCAGGCTAAAATCTGGATAGATCTTTCGAGACTCAATAAATAAAATAAATAAAATCAAATACGAAACAAAAACACGCTCTGCAGTAGTGTAGTCTGGGAAAACGAATTGGTGGATCACTCCCAAGACTACTGTGTATCAGAAAGACCCTGTTTAAGACTACAGAGGATGCACACGCGCGCACACATACGCACCCGACCACCGAACCATACGAACGCACACATACGCTTGCAAGATTTTGGTTATACATTCTGAATCGTGTTTAATGCTCAGCGAGAACAGTTACTAACCTTATAATGATTAGGAGTCATGCAGTACTATACAAAAGTAAAATAGACATGAAGAAAGGTTCTCCTGCTTATTCTCCTCAAAAAACAGATTTAAACTAAATTAAGGTGACCAGATGTCTTTATTTTCCCAGACTTGTCCTGGCAAGGATTTCTGAAGTCAGACTCCGATATTTTGGCTTCATTCTATCATTCCATCCAGTCAGAGGATATCAAACACATTTGATATTTTGAGCCAATTAAAAAAAAAAAAAAAACCTTTTCATTTGTTATGCGCCTGCTAGCAACAATGTGCGAGTTTCTGAGTTTGTTGGAATCAGAACGACTTGAAAATCTGGTAGTGTGTGATCCTTAGTTGTCCAATATATGATGCCCGGTTTTTCTTCTGTAACTATTTACAAAGTTGCCAAGTCTATGACGCTTAGTGTTTTAAAATCTGTTCAGATTTTAAAAGTTGTGTAGTGTATTCAAGCCTTTATTTAATAAATAAATGTCATTTCTTTTTTATTTACTTTATTTACTGTTTTTAGAAATCCTGGCCAAACCGATAGCCTCGTGGTTAGAAGCGCAACTGCTCTCACGGCGACCCGAGTTCGATTCCCGCCTAGAGGTACTTTGCCGATCCCGCCCCCCTCTCTCCACCCAATACTTTCCTGTCATCTCTCAACTGTCCTCTCACAATAAAGGCATAAAAATCCCATAAATATAACTTAAAAAAAAAGAAATCCTGGCCAAGAAGAAAGCCTTTCCGAGAAAAATAGGACATGTGGTCACCCTCAAATATGTAATGACGAGAGCTTTGTTAGCGTAATGCGAATGTCGTGAGTGTTAGCTGTACAGCGTTAGTCAATGACTGTGTGTTTCTCTGGGTTGCAAACAGATCCAACTATAGAGATTTTATTTAGTGTCACTCTAAACAACTCCTCACCCTCGTCTCAGGTAAACCTGCTCTAGCGAATGTACACATCTCTGCTCCACTCCTCCTGGTTATGGTTGCGGCCCGTCGTCGCTCCGCCGCCTTCTGCGTCTTGAGAGTAGCGTTCCCTCAGCTTGCCTCGTCCACGCTGGTGCTGATTGGCTGGTGGTGGGACCATGTTGAGGTTCTCCTGGTCAGGCTCCGCCCCTTCGTCCTCCCAGGAGGCCTGGCGAGGAGCGTGGTGGGCGGGGTTCAGACGGTACGAGCGACAAGGGTCCGGCTCCTCATACGGGTCGGTCTCCATGTCATCAGTGTAGGCGGAATCGCGGCTGCCCTGCGTCTCGGAATCGAACGTATCCTGCCGCGACAGACCTCGGCCGCCGGTTTGCAACTGGCTGCGTGAAGAGCGCAGTGGCTGCTTGCCACTCAGGTCGCTCTGGTAATCTTGGAGACTGCCACGTTCAGGCCCTTCCCTCTTCTGTTCTCCATGCACCAGGAATGGCCCCTACAGCAACCCCAAAACACACCACAACATGCCAATGCAGATGCACACACACACACACACACAAAACAGAGCACGCAGCATGTTAATACAAAGGTTAGAGGTCAGCTTTACAAGTTATTTCAACACATCCCAAGCAATACTATAACCTCAATAACAAATGGCATACATAAAATACATTCTTCACTCATGCAATTATGGGAAAAGGCCATTTTGGTAGGGAGATGCCAGGGCTCATAGTATTTTCTAAGTGCAATCTACACATTTTATAAAATGCAATTTTAGTATGTAATCATTAATAATTATCTTGCTTTACTTTAAAATACCTTAAAATACCGTTTTGATTTTCAAAAACAATAGAAAGTTAAATGTATCTGATAAACTGCAGACATAAACGCACACCATATATATATATATATATATATATATATATATATGTATAAATAAATCTAATTAACAAGTGAATCCATTTAAACATCTTAATATTTGAGGTGCCTGTGACTATAAGAGGATAAACTGACTTTTATTAAAAGAACATCTCAAAGCTATGTAACTTTGGTCTCCTAGACAACTGTGTAATGGTGAAGACTGAGCAGATGGATGCTAATTTTTTCTTGTTCAGATTGCGGTGAGATAGTTGCAAAAACGCACTGACACACAGGCACTGATCTATCCTCTGTCTCCCTCACTGACTCACTTTTGCGCTCGCTGTCTCTCACTTCTGCACGCAGACACACAAACACACACTTTTGTTTAACTTGGGTAAACAACATTGGCGTCAATGCACATACACGAGCTTCTGTTAGAATTTCGGCTCAGTGTTAATAGGACAATGGACATGAGTGCGTTTTTCAGAGCTGGTGCCATGGCAGCCTGGAAGAGGGTAGCAATCTGAACTACATTTCCCAGACAGCAAGAGGACACCGTAAAGTCCGGCAGGCGTTTCAAATGAGGGGACACTGTGTGGACTGTGGAGGACTTATGATTATGTTGATCACGTATGGGATATTTTGTTCGTGTGTATGTGTGTTGCATTATTTTTTATCATTGAGAGATCAGTTAAAGGAGAGGAGCAGAGACAGACAACAGAATTATAGTCAGGCATTTCTATCTCTTGAGCAGCCATCGTTACTTTTCTGTGATTGGGAGACAGGTACGGGACCCTTCAATATCCCATTGTAATCCTGGCCCTGTCTTTAGAGGGCGTGCTCATCTTCCTGTTGCCCTTGCCCTGTAGCAGGGGAGCCATCCAGGAGCTCCAAGTTGCGACGCAGGGAAGTGAGCACCTGTACCTGCAGGTTGGAGACGGGTTCGGGCTATGTAATCATTAATAATTATCTTGCTTTACTTTAAAATACCTTAAAATACCGTTTTGATTTTCAAAAACAATAGAAAGTTAAATGTATCTGATAAACTGCAGACATAAACGCACACCATGCACGTAATGTAAAAAAATATTAATCATAAGCGCCCTCTAGTGGCCATATCAAACACACCACACAATAAATAGAGCTCCTTTCAACATTTTTAGTGATGATTCAAAAATATTGGGCTAAATTAGCTCATAGAGCAGTCATCTTTGGAGCTAAAACGCATCTCATATTGCAACCCTCTTCTGAAAAAATTTGGTACAAAAATATTGCCCAAAATGTTTTATATTTATTTATCTAAATTATACAAATCTAAAAGTGTACATAAATGTTAATCAGTAGAAATCAAAAGTCATATTCTCACAGGAGGACACTGCGCAAGTTTATCAGCTGCCACCATTTGGACATTGAGATGTTTGGCCTGAGATTTACCCCTGGACTTTATCAGCCTCTGCAACACCTGATCGCGAGGGAGACACAGAAACACAAATATAAGTCCAATAAACATACATTATTATGATGTACACACTGAAATGTTTTAACCAAAAAAGCATCTTTGTGAAGCAAATGTATTGAAACCATTTTAAAAAATGCTGGGTTGTTTCAACCCAACTTTGGGTCAAATATGGACTAACTTTTGGATTCAAAATTAAATGTAAAAATTTAACCCAACAAATGGGTTAGTCCATATTTGACCCAAAAACAACCCAGTTGTTTTGAAACAACCCAACATTTTTTAGAGTACTGTTCAAACATTTTTTTGGTCAGTAAGTTTTTCTTTGAAAGAAATTAATACTTTTATTCAGCAAGGATGCTTTATTCATATTAAATTGATCAAAAGTGACAGTAAAGACATTTATAATGTAACAAAACAAAAAATATATAATCACAGGTTCCTCAAAAACAGGTTCGTGTGACACTGAGGACTGGAGTAATGGCTGCTGAAACTTCAACTTTGCATCACAGGAATAAATATATTCAAATAGAAAATGACTGTTTTTACCATATTTTTAAAGTAAAAAAAAAAAAAATGCAATCATCGTGAGCATAAGAGACATTTTTAAAAACATGACAAAAATCACACCGACCACAAACATTTGAACGGTAATGTGTATATTCAGCTAATGTATACCTTTGGAGAGGCAATCTTGATGTAGACTATGATAGGTGCCAGTGATGTCTTGGCCAACTGAGATGGATGGTTGATTGTGTCGGCATCCAGAGCCACTAACTGGAGCGTCCGGGCCAGCTCAAAGATTCTCTCGATTTCACTCTGTACCTCAGCTGCCAGATAAAAGAAAAATTAATAAGAATATATCATTATTAATAGATATACAATATATCATAACTACATCCAAGCACAGAAATCTCCACTTAGTGTTCGTCTATTGCACATATTTGCTAACCAAAGTTAATTTATACACTGCAAAATTTATATTCTAATTTTCTAATAAAAATATCAAAACATCCTAAAAGGATCACGAAAATAACCGAAAAACCAAAATTTCCACTAGTATTTTCATTTAATTTAGCCATACATGTCACTAAATTTATTTTGATTTTTTTGCAGTGTATAGCAGAGAATGCTGAATGCACACATAAACACACCTAAAGTTGTAATGAACAAGATGAATACCAGAAAGACTTACCTCACAATTTGATTTCATACTCAAACCTATGTTAGTATATATCATGCATGTGGGGTTATTATGGTCTGCTCGAATATATGCATGTCTGAGCGCGTGCTCATGTGCTAGTTTAGTTCCATTTACCTTTAAGTAAATGGAACGCTGAACAGTATGACGGTAGTCTGCAGAAGACCGGTTACATGCTATGTGCAGCTTTCTGCATTGATCCATGGAAGTCTGTAGAAAGCTGCAGTTATGTAGATCAGTATGCGTGTTTGCGTCTGTGGGTGTGAAGTGCTATATGAGAAGTGGCATCACACTTCTTACAGAATCTATGCATTCAGTTAATTTAAAAAGCAGAAAGCTATCCTACTTTTTAGTCAAGTTACCATTTAAAAAAATTTAATAAAATGTAGTTGAATTACTTTGAAGCTATTTAAGGGGCAACATCTTTTAAACTAACCTATTACAGATTTTGCTACAATGAAATCAGAACAATGTTCTCCCGAACAAAACAATGAAGATCTCAATTAGTGTGACAGTATCTTTAAAACATTAAAACACAAATACACACCAAACTAAATACTACTAACTACCTAACTACAAAACACCTTAATTAATGAATGGACTTAATGAAAAACATTGTGATAAACAACAGTGTTTAACTGGTCCCTAAGCTTATACACCATGAGAGGAACACCTGGATTCCTCAGAGAGTACAGCGCAATCCGAACACTCTGCACACAACCTGCACATATAATGAAAATATATTTTCTGCTCAAATGTCTAACTATCACTTCATTTACATATACACTAATGTTTTTGAATGAAGTCTCCTATGTTTACCAAAACTGCATTTATTTGATTATAAGTTCAGTAAAACAGTAATAATGTGAAATATTATTACAATTTAACTGTTTTCTATTGTAATATATTTTAAAGTGTAATTTATTCCTGAATTTTCAGCATCATTACCCCAGTCTTCAGTGTCACATGATCCTTCAGGAATCATTCTAATATGCTGATTTGCTGCTCAAGAAACATTTATTACTATTATCAATGTTGAAAACAGTTGTGCTGCTTAATGTTTTTGTGGAAACCATGATACTTTTTTTTCAGGATTCTATGATGAATAGAAAGTTCAGAATACTGTCACTTTTGATTCATTTAATGCACCTTTGCTGAATAAAAGTATTGATATTGTGTGCAATATAATGGGGGGAAAAACTACACCACTACTTTTCACTGCCATGTGTTGGCAACAATAGCTTGTTATTGGAAAAGCTACTGCACAGTGTTTTCAAAACAGTTGAGCTACTGAAAAATGTTGATAAGTTAGTAGTGTTCTTTTTTTTTTTTTTTTGATTAATAACACCACAACTGTGCCAAAAAATTAAGAATGTTCACTCCAAACTCAAGAAAGAGGGTTAAGTACAGGGACAGATGGATGAATGGATGAGGACATGAATGCATTGACAGATGGATGGCCGCAAAGGGGAAAAGGGTGGGATGATAAGATACGTACCCAGTACGTCTGAGGTGAAGAGAAAGAGAGAAGGAGGAAATGTGTGGTGGGAAGGAGTGTCAGGAGAAAGCAAGATGAAAAAGAGAAAAAAGGCAGATCAGACATGACGTAACAGAGCAAGAGGAAACACTAAGAAAAATGTTCAGGAAACAGAAAGAATGTGTACTAGTGTACACTACTGAAAACTGACAGGGCTTGACAAGCGAATTTTCATCTCTCCAAAAGTAGTCTAACAGCCTATTCGCACAGAGAGCGCATATTTGCAAAACGTCTTTTTTGTATACAAAATCAGAATGAATTTGCATTTCATTCATCCCAACAAACAGGCTATTTGTCTTGCTCTCGATGTGAATAGTTCTGTAGTTTGAATTTTGCTTTGTTCAGAACATTTGTTATTTTGGTCACTCAGCGTGTTGCTAAACCACATGTTCAGCCTGCTCCGGCTTTGACCACGTGAGGGAGCTCTTTCAGTAGCAGTGTGTGCAGGTGCGTTTCATACCCAGACTGGATCTGGTGCTGGAGCGCTCGATGATGGTGTGTTTGCTGGGGTTGTTTAGGACGGAACGTTTGGCAAGTGAGATGTCTGCTGTCACCCTGGTGATGGATATTCTGGAACAAACAACAAGCCATAACCATGGTATGCCAATTACAGCACGAGCGTATTGTGATATTTCCAGCGTTAATAATCTACACAGAAATTTGCCATTTATATTAACAGCTTCTTTAACAACATAAGTCTTGCCAAATTTCAAAACGATGAACTATTTTCTTTTTTAAATCTTTATTATGACCGTGACATGCATATTTTGGTACCCACCTGCCTTCGAATTTGTGTTTTAGAAAATCAAAGAGAGCTTTCTGCATCATATCTGTCACCTGCAACGATACACACACACAACTGAGCAAGATGAGGAACATGACTAAAATTTTTTTATAGACATTTTTTTGAGAGAGATATACTGTCTTGCCTCGTAGCCTTTAAGGGATGGTCCCACCAAAATAATGGGTCTCATGGAAGGCACCACATCATAAGGAGGAATATGTTCCATCTGAAAGTTCAAAACACAAAATAAAACCTCTTCAGTGAAATCAGGATACATACATTTGCCAAAACTGACCTCAAACATCTGGATTTTAAAAAGCATTCACACCCACGTGTTAAAGTGTCTTTTTCTTCAACCTATGCTTCACTGCTGCTTCAAAGGTTTTTTTTTTTTAAACCGAGTTCTTCTTTGTTTTCCCTCTCTAACCCTCTCTGATATTCTTAGCAATGACAGTCCTAAAAAAAGGAATTTTCTGGGTAGCTGATGAATTAAATAAATATATGTTTATTATAGGCTAATAAATGAATTTAGTGTAAATTTATATCAATCAAAACATGATTTCTTATTATTTCAGCCATGTATTTTTTTTTTAATGTATGCTTATATACACAGTCAATATCTTGCTAACATCTTACAATGGTCTTTATATATAATGTAGATTTACTAATTTAATTTAAAATTAATTATTATTAATATAATTATATATGTATATATAGGTTCATATATAATATATACATATATAAGTTAATATAATAAAAGTTATGGCTGTCAATATTTTAAAAAAGGAAATTATAATAATATAGGTGGTTTATTTAATAAAATGAATTTACCATTTAATCATTTTTTTTTTAAACAAAGACATTAGTGTGTAGATGAACAAATCATTCAATAGACATGACAAAACTGGCTTTAGAATTAATTTACTGTGTTTACTTCCACATCATGTGAATGGCTCCTCATTTCACTTGCTTGGAATCTGAAAATACATTTCTAATAAAATATATCTTAATACATTATATGCAGAACTGAAGAAACGGAATAAAACGCCAGTTAATTAAAACATTTTACATACTATGTTTATTTAAAACCATTTTTTTAGGATGCTTAGCTTCTCTTTCCTCCTCAGACAGACCATCACTTTAATCTAAGATAAGACCTCTTCATGTTCTGCTGAGGGTCCTCCACTCCATGAAGTGTGTGTGTGTGAGAAAAACAGAGATAGAGATCTTTTGCTCAATTGCTCTCCATTTGCTGTGGCTCCTCCCACTCCTCTGGTCCCGTTATATAATACATAACTGACCAAAAGTTTCAGATGGGTAGCTAAAAATAATACATCTACAATCTAACGTCACCATTTTCAACTCTAATTCACCCAGTCGGGCTTCTGTGCATGTGAGATAGTGTGACGGTAGCCATTGTGACAGCAGTAACAAGCGTGGGCTACTCTCTATGTCACAGACCCATAATGGAAACGGAAACCGTGGAAACCTGTCAGGGTGTTTCTGCCTCATCTTGTGTGCATGTGCAAGAGGATGGCAGACTCCCCATGTGTCATGGGCTGGATTCATTCATTTCTCGATTCAATCTGAATGAGATGTACGTGTCCTGTAGAGCTAATAAACCCTGACAGTTTTTCCTTTCTGAACTATTTTTTGTAAACAGGGCTAGTACAGAAATCCTGTCTGTATGCCACAACAATTCACATTCGATCCTTTAGAGAAGCAAACTAGCATAGAAGAAATTTCATTTGTCTTTTCTGAAATATATGCACATGCTCAGCTGCTGATAATAGCCTTAAGAATCAGATATCTTCATAACAAGTACAAAGACAGAAACAGAAAGTTTGTTGTTGCTATGACTCACCGATTTCTGTTTCTGTTTGGCAGGCCCACCTATCATTCCACACGCGCACACACAGCAAGAGAGAGAGGGTAAGCAAGCAAACAGAAGCTTGTTAGTGACAAATTGTTAAAACATTTAGGATGCTGGGAGAGAATGAATCAACAAATCAGAGGTGGCCAAATGAAGACAAAATGGAACCACTAAGGTATTAGATAAACTTTCCTGGTTAATCATCCAGGTTGATGTGTAGTAAAATTCTCCCAGCATGAACACGGTCTCATGAGGATTAATCCAAATGACTGGAATTGTGAGTCCAGATTCACCCAAGAATGCACATTCTGTCATTATTTATTCACCCTCATGTCGTTCTAAACATGTATGACTTGCTCTCATCCATGAAACACAAAAGGATGTGAGAAAATCACAGAGAGCATCATTGAAGGACCATAAAAGTAGCCCATATGATTGATTCACTATGCACAATGATAGCTTTGTGTGAAAAGACTCAAATTTACAATATTATTTATCAATAAATGTCTTTTCTGGTGAGGTTCTCAGATCTCACTCATGCCATTCACAATAGATCAAATATGAATACGCACATATTAAAATGAAACAAATTTAATTTAGGCGCTAAAATGGGGGTAAGTTTTTCCAGTTTTTTAATCACATGGCTTCAACACATACATATATATATACATATACATACATACATAAATAAATATATATATATACATATATATATGTTCTGCAAATAACAAAAACAACACAAAAGTATTACACCAGTTATAATATTTAAATTTCTTCTAAGGCAGTCTGTTATGAGTTGGTAGGGGAGCAATTGAAAATGTAAAAAGTACTGTCTGTAAAAATACATACATTTATTCTTGCAAATAATCATACAGGGTGAGTAAATGTTGACCCTAAATTAACTACCCCAGTAAAAAAGTATTTATATTTAAAATACAATTATTTCATACTAAGTATACTTCAAATCTATTAACATATTTCCTGATATATTGCTCAAGACATACTAATATACAAAATTATAATTAAACTTTATTTGGAGCACTACTTGTGCACAATGCTCATTTCTTAATATTAAGCCTTAAATGTGTTTAAATGCAAGATATCTGAAGTGTACCTGAAGTACACTTGCAATATATTTCCACTTTAGCACAGTCAAATATACTTCATTATATCTTTAGATGGACTTCAGCACTACTTTCGCACAATTAAAGTGCATTAAACACAAAATTAGTTGTTCCAATTTAGCAGACTTTAAGTATAGCAGTTTAAGTATACTAAAAGTACAATTGCAGGGTATTTTTATTAAGTACATAAATATGTAAATGTATCTGTAGTATACTTAGCATGAAATAAATGTATTTCAAATATTTTTTCATATATTTATTTTTCACTAGGGTATACCTGTAATAATGCATTAACTTCATGCCTTGGATGTGAATTCTAAGGCAAACAGCAAAGACTCCCCTAATGTTTCAAAGACACAGAAAGTGCTTGGTTAGGAAAGAGTCTGATTATTAGTCACATCTGAAGGAGGCTGTCTACTGATGCATTCTGGGGTTATCACCAGGGTTACCTTCTTAAAGAAAGGGAGGCGGGGTAGGTTGCCTTGAGGGGAGGTGACACTTCCGCCCACACCCTTTTGGTCTCGGGTGTTGGCAGGCTCCACCTCCTCAACTTCTGAATCCGAATCGTCATAAAGCCCAGAGGACAAGTCAGCTAGGGGACCAATTGGGAGGTGGATGGGTTTTAATGAAAGGATAGAACAAGAGAGGATGGGGGGTGAAAGAGAAATAGAGAAGGAAACGAGGGTGAAAGAACAGGGAAACAAGGGTAACGGACAGAAAATGAGAGAGGAGGAAGAGAGGAAGAACAGCAGCATGATGTACCAGACTTCACTGAGTCAGAAAGGTGATGAGAACACAGAAGGTGTCATAAAAAGGACAAGCAAAATTAAAAAAGAAATGACCTTTTCAAGAAATGCAAACAAGTTTTATGGTGTCAAGTCCCTGCTCGGAGTTGGGGCTTTTAAATTAATTTTTAAATTCATGTTCCAGTTTCATTTGATGTTTATGGTTTATGGGTTAAATAAATATAATTTACCCTATACTAACAACAAGCAAACAATATTATATATTTTTTTCATGTAATTGTTTATTAAAATAATCCACATTAAAGTCTAGTTTTTTTTTTACACGGACTCCAAAACAATAACAATAATACACTGTAAAATGTTTGTAATTTTCACAAAACATGTCAGCTACAGTAAGTTACCTCACTATATACTGTGAGAAACTGTAAATGTTTCAACATTGCATTATATGTAATTTTACTGTGAAATCAAATGTATGTTTTTTATATATAAAAACTATGAAATACCATATAATTTAGGGTGAAAAACAGTAAAAGGACCTTCTAAGATATCCCTGGGTGACACAACATGATTATATTTAATATAATATTTAAGACAATTTTGTTTCTTCTTATTTTGTACATTATTTGTACATTATTGCATTATTTTAGTGTCATGCATATACTACTTACGATGAACTTTCTATAGATATAGGCCACTTACAAAGAACTCTGATTCATCATGTGGCTTTCTGTTTTACCAACTGCATTATTATGGTTGTTATCAGTACATTTCAAGGTACAACACAAATTTTTGTACATTGATATATTAATATATATTTAATGTAATATACGATTATAAGTAAGTTATAAGTTGATTATATTTTACAGTGAATTTCTGACAACCACAGCTGCCAAAGTTTTACTGTAGGATATTTTTTGCAGTGTCAAGTATCAATCAAAATTGGCTTTATGTGAGTTTTATACTTTACCAAAAGTCACCAGAAGTGGTGAATTCTACAGTTAAATAAGTTAAAAGCAACACTTCCCTTCTTTAAAAAATGATCTGCTGGTGTGCAATGTTATTTTAGTTACCTGAATTATTTGCACACTCATATTCGTTTTATTTTTGGGTACTGTTTTTGTTTTTTTGTACTTTTATTATTTTTCGTTCGATTATATTAAGGACCTCACTTGGCTCCTGAGAAAATGCCCCTGATTACAAATTAATAAAACTCCCAGAGCTGACACAGCCATGACAGATCGCATAAACCACAGGTAGCTCAGTGTAAGAAAGATTTGGAACTACAATTACAGATGATGATGACAAAGAGAAAAGGAAGAAAGAAAAAAACAACAACAGAAAAGACTTGAAGACTAGAAGAATGAGTGATAAGAGGGACAAGAGGATGAGGGGATCCTAAAAGGGCGCTCTAACACTCATTGTGTTCAATGATTACCCAGTGTGAAAGTAATGGGATTATGTTCTGTATATGTGTGTGTTTGGAGGGATTTCATAACCCATCACAACAGAACAAAAACTTCACAGCATTACTGTCTGATCATACCTGTTCCAGGTGGAGTGGGCCTCCGGGCACCAGTGGCAACATCCAGACTAGAGCTTCCACCCGACTTACTAGTAAACAGACAGAGAGACCAATGGAAAGTAGGTAAGACAACAATATGGTCAATGGCACCTTCTAAATGTTTCTGCAAAATGATTCTGTAAATATTGTTAACATATTTTTGAAAGAAGTCTCTAATGCTCAATGCTCTAAAGGCATTTATAATTTATTCATGTGCTGTTTAATACATGTGTGGAAACCGTGATACATTTTGTTCAAGATTCTTTAATTAATAGAAAGTTTAAAAGAAAAGCATTTATTTGAAATCGTTTTTTAACATCATAAATGTCTTTGCTGTCACTTGAAATCAATTGAATGCATCTTTGCTGAATACAAATATTAATTTCTTTCAAAAACAGTCATGACTGACCGCCAACTTCTGAATGGAGGTGTAGCTATTAATGCATGGAGTATATGTGTGTTTCACACAGCAAAAACAGCATAATGCAGCAGATATAGGCTCGTGTGATTGGCTGTTACCTGGAGCTAAGGCGGTTCTGTCTCAGTCTCTGTTCTTGTAATTGACGGGTGCTCTCAAGCTTCACTGGACTGGGGATAAACCCCACCTCACACCCTTCCTTCACCAAACGCCCAATCCACCAGTCATTATTATACTTCTGTTAACAGAAAAACACACAAAAAAAATGCACAAGTGAACACTTTCCACTTATTAGCTTTTGAATCATGTAAGCCAAAGGTACAGTTACCGTCCATTTGATTACATATACATCATCACACTGAAGATCTATATATTGTTGAAGGATTACATTATATATCAGATTACACCAACACTTTTAAAGAGAAATATGGCTGTCTGACCTCTTTGATGTGCAGGAAGTCTTTGGTTTCGAAAGAGATAGCCATGCCCTGAACCGGCACATCATCATTAGGGCCTGGGTTATAGCCAACGTTAGTCCTCACAGCAAACGCTACAGGCTTGGTCTTCAGAGAGAAAAGGGATGAGAGAGATAAACAGAGAGAACTGTTACAAAAGAAAGAGAGCTCCAGTGAAACCCTTCAGAGTGGAAGAAAGAACCATGGTCATGTTTTACAGCTAACATATGGAAGTGATCTTGTATATACATTCAAGAGGATGGAATAATGCAGAACAGTATAATGCTTCTGAACTCAAATCCCAGTGGAGCAGCAAGCAACATGTTTTGTGCGGCAAGCTTCAATCAACACATCTGATTAAGTTATTAATTCATTACAGTCAAATCATTTACACAGGTGTTTCTCCATGACTGAGGTGTGGGACCACAAAATAACCATTTGTAATAAGTTACTGTCCTTTTTTTCTGTGAAAAATTCCCTAATAAAGTTTAAGCACACTTTGTGCTTTTAATAACTGTCCTTAAAGGTAAAGTGTGTGATTGTTAAGAGTGTTTTTCAACATAAAAATCTTATAATGCTTGCATTGATATTCCTCAAACTTTCTGGTTAGAGAATAGTCAACTTTTGTTATTAAATAATAACAAAAACACTCAGATGTACAAGCCTTGCTTTGTAGATTATTTCAGCCTTATGATCTGTATAAATTATAGAACACAAGGCTGAAATAATCTACAAAGCAAAGTTTGTACATCTTTTTGTTATTTTAAATTATGTTTTTGTTATTATTTTAATTAAATTTTGTTTAAAAATGCCCAATTAACTTGATTAATAGATGGATTGACTGATCAACAGAGTGCTATTAAAAATGACAGCTGACAGTGATGACAATCATAATACTGGATACTGAATTCTAAATTCAATGCTAAAACAAAACGTAACTTTAACAAACGTTCACACCTTTTTGCTGCCTTGTGCAGTAACATTAATAAAAGTACTAATATTTCCATAAAGCTAGTTAATCATACAGGTGTTTTTCAGGGATTCAGCCTCTCAGAAAAGATGTTCTTCCAACAATCAAGTCTATTATCTTCACTCAGAGCAGAGTCTGAATAACAGACCAATGAGAAATTGAAAGAAACTGGAACAGAACATGAAAAAGTAAGACACCTTAGCCTTCTCTAGGGTGGCGAGAGCTTGTCTATCGGCTTCTTTCCTGAGAGCCTCAGGGTCCTCCTCCAGAGACACGTCAGAGTCTGAAGGACGACTGGTGTAGGAGTCTGCTGAGCCCTGCCAGAGAACAGAGAGGGGGAGTGAGAGGGAGGCACGGACGGAGGGTGAATCTGTGTTAACAGCCTTTGGCACAGTGTTTGAAAAAGCTCTTTTTTCAATTAGTATTCCTTATCTAAAATCACACACAATAACAATTTTACATCTCTTCTTCCACCAGGCCAAAAGAGAAGTGGCACAAATGACCACACAGTGAGTTATCGTACGACGTGCAAACAATTTGTGAATGAAGAACAGGTTGAAGGAGAGGGCAGGAACAGTGTGGGAGGAAGTGAAAGGGAGCGGAAGGTACAGTACAAACACGAGAAAAGAGTTTCTAAGAATATGAGAGGAGCAAAACAGAAAGAAACAACTGTTTAGAGCAGCTGAATCAAAGGAGATGAGCTTCCCGTGATTCTTACAGTTTGTGTATGTGCAAGGATGTAAACAAACATTCAAGATACTGGTGTGTCTTCAACTACAAGAACTTGTTTGTCCCAGGGGTTGATTCTTATTTTATTTTATTTTTGTTATATTAAGGTCATATTACAATCATCATAGAAACTTTTCATCACGCCTTTATCATTTATTCACGCTATTTTTGAAATTCTTTTGCTTTTCATTTGTATAGATTTTACTGTTTACCCATTAAAATACATCATAAGGTACAGGTGAATATGAATCATTAATTAAATCATAAAAATAAAAAACCTGATAATTTAAAATGTAAAATGCTTGATACTTCTGATATATAAAATTAATTACACGTGTCACTCCCATCACGATTAACAAATTAGCAAATAATAAAGTGTTATCGAATGTGTTATCGAGTGTTAGTGTTACCAAGGCGACAAAAGATCTTAAGATGAAATTATATGACATGAGAAAATGTGTCTAAAAAGTGAATATCACCTGTGTGCAGACTATTTTTATTTCCATCATCATCATTTTCACTGCAAAATGCTATCAAGCACAATATACAATTTGAGATTATGAATAAAATGCATATATACACACTGTTAAATGTCTACAGGGCCAGCTGAAGAAACACACATATGGCTGTATTGATTTGTCCTTGCTTTAGAGTCTGGGTAAGTTCACGAAGATACTAAAAGCAGACAAAAACACATACACAAATAGTCGTGGCATTTGACTCTCACAGTACAGTACGGTGTCAGAACCTTTATATAAGCTACCACTCCTCTCATCTCTTTTTTCCATACTTTCCTCTCGTTTCCCTGTCTATGTTTCTTATTCGTGGGAGGTGTGGACGGCAAGAATGACTCACTGGATGGATGCGCTTTGCATGTGTGAACATGAGGGCATTAGGTTTGTCACATATTTGTGAGTATGTGTGTGTGCATTTGTGTTTTAAATAGAAATGAGAATGTGTCAGGCTGACATATGCCATATGCAATGATGTTAAATTATTCATTGTGAAACAGAGGGTCACAGGAACCCAGCGCACATGCTAAATATCACCGGCTTCGCTAGGCAGCAACAGATTGCACACACACACTTTGCCTGGTAGACTATCACTTTTACAGCAGAGATGTTATATTTGTAATTGTTAGTACAGTGGTCATAAAGTGGGCTAAATCCAAATCCTGGCAGAAACAAATCACACAAACACACGTTTTTCTATCCTGGTAGGGATTTTCCACTGATATCTATACTGACCTAATGATATTTCTATCTTCAAACCCTAAACCAAACCCATTCTGAGTGATCACATTCTGTACGTTTATTAAGTAAAACCACATTGGACCTGTTGGCTGGTACCACAATGTAAGTGATTTCAGGTTTTACGATCCTTGTTGGGAAATTTGATGCCTAAAATGTAGGGAACCTGACACACACAAATGTTTACGGAGCTATTTAAATGGGGACAATTCCATAGACGGCTATTGTTTTAATAAACAAGAAGTTGAAAATACAATATCCTAACCCTTAGTACTAATCTGTCTCCAAAATTATTAAATTAAAGTATTTCACAGTTTCAGTTTTGAAAAATAAAATCTGACTTCACAGGGCAAAAATGTTCCATATGACATTTTCCACTAGCAGCCAGACTATTAAAATTTAAAATAAAACCATTTCCCTCAGACCAGAAGGTTGAGGACAATACAGTATCACTGGCTGAAGCAACAATTAATGAACTAAAAAAAGCAAATCACTTAAGAAGATAAGCCTCTATTGTGACCACATAAAGAGGAAATGCATCACACAACAGTTAGAAAGTTATATTATTAATATCAACAGAAAAGACCTTTCAGGCACAGTGCTGAGCAATGTACTGTAAAGTAGCTAAAAGAAAAGATCCAGGGAATTAAAATTTATTTAGGGTATTAAGGAATTAAAAATCTTTAATTTAATTCCTAAATTAATAGCACACTTAAACTACCTAATCGCAACTGAAATTACCCCAGATTTCATTCATTTGCTCATTTTTGTGCACTTAAAGGGATAGTACAAAAAGTATTCTCATAGCTTCATGAAATTAAGGTTGAACCACTGATGTCACATGGACTATTTTAATGATGACCTTACTACCTTTCTGGGGCTTGAACGTGTCAGCTGCATTTCTGTAGGGTCAGAAAGCTCTCGGATTTCATAAAAAGAATATCTTAATTTGTGTTTCAAAGATGAACGAAGGTCTTATCGGTTTAGAACGGCATAAGGGTGAGTAATTATAACAGAATTTTCATTTTTGGGTGAACTATCCCTTTAAGATGCTTCATGCAATCTCTCACTGCATTTTAATTCTGGTATTTGCACCTCAGCCCTGTTTTGTGTAACTGTCAGCAGCCTATGTGCTTGGCAGTTTTCAAGGTCGGTACCAGGTCACCTCAGTAAAGGTCTACCACATCCATTCTCTTCAAACAGCACCAAGAACTTCACAGTAATATCACAGGGCTAAATGTTATGAAGTTGGCTCCATTGTAGTAGCAACATATTAACAATAATATTAGCTTAGGCTCTGCAGAGCTCGTAAACAAAGTTGACATTTTCCGTCTTCCAGCGAGTAAAGTTCCCCAGGCTGTGTAGAAAGCAGCCGTGAACACTATACATCAATAACACTGTCAGACTCGCGCTAGTCAAGCGGCGGCAAGACAGGAACACGGAGCGAGGAAAGAAACAAAAGACATGCCAGAAGATGACGGCTGATCGAGAGAGAAAAAAGCGAGAAATGGGACGAAATGAAAAGGACTGTGTGGGTGAGGTGGAGAGGAAGGATTAGTACTAGCTCTGAAAAAAAAGTCTCCCACACACACATTGTGGGCTGATCAACTGTAACAACTACGCCTCTCTGTATGAAATCAACAATAAATGACTGGCAGATTATTCTGATGTTTTTCCTCTTACAATTCCTTTCCCAGGTTTTTATAAGATATGATTTCGGTTTAAAGGAATATTTTGTGTTTAGTATATGTTAAGCTCAAAAATGCAGATTACTACATAAAATAACTTCTCAGTTTTTAAAAAAAAGCAAAACTCATGGTTACAGTACTTGCAATAGAAGTATACAGGAACATTCAAAACACTTTACAGCCATATTATACATTATATAAGCTTAATTTCTCTCATTTTTTCTTCTTCAGGTTTATACTAACTAACAGTACTCTAATGGTGAGCAGTACAGTACCATTTTAGTATAGGGACCAATTCTCACTATTAACTAGTTGTTTATATGCATGCCTATTATTAACATATTGGCTGTTTATTAGTACTTATATAGCACATATTCTGCATGATTATATTCAACATCCCTAATCTAATACCTAAACTTAACAACTACCTTACTAACTATTAATAAGCAGCATATTAGGAGTTTATTGAGCCAAAAGTCTTCGTTAATGGTTTGTTAATAGTGAGAATTGGACCTTAAAATAAAGTGTGACCAAAAATACAGTGTAAGTTCTTTCCAAATAATATTTTAGTTATAATATTTCAATTTTTCACATCCAGGTGGATGTTGCACACTGGTGGTGGTTGAGGAGATTTCCTCCTTCAAAAATGTGTAAAGCAATTTGCAAAGCAAAGTGTCAAGAAAAGCACTATACAAACACAATTAATTATATTTTTGTTAAAAGTAATGTAAAAAAACATAAGTCAGGTAAAACCAGTATTATGGTTTATTCTGCTTTCTAAATAACCATCAAAAGACTAAAATCACAAGATTAATCACAATAATTTTAATCTATTGACAGCCATAGCTTTATGCTTCTCTTAAGGTTTACAGTTACCAGTATGGTGAGCAAAAAATGTACAGTTATAGTGTTAAATTTTTCACATAAAAATTACACATACAAATATATGGCTGCCTTTTACAATTCAGAAAGGGGGCAAGTGTATCATTATATCTGGGGGTTCATAAGCATCAGAGTGTTTAAAACCCCCAGTCTCTTTGATAAAAGAAACAAACTAAGGAACATACAACATACTGATTCTTTCAATGATTTTTAATATTTTAAATAACATGTGGATCTGTTTACGTAGTTTTACTGTTTACAGAGTTCAGTCAGTGTAACGTGAGAGAGTCACAAATGCATGTCGCTTCTGGGAAAGTGCAACAAAGCCATATGCTTCTGAATTCATTTGTTCCCAAAGCACTACATGGATCAGATTATGCATTATTTGTCCTTAGGACAGCTGAATTGTTCAGGGCATTAAGTGAACAGTCTACACATAATGACAAATAATGGTAAGCACATGCACACAAGCAGATAATGTTCATGTATTAGGGCTGCACGATAAATCTCACATGGAGCAGCATTAACTACACAGAGCCGTTGTTCACCGACAAGCTGCGCAAAACATGCGCAAAATATGATCGTGGTTTTGCGCAGCTTGTCAGTGAACAACGGCTCTGTGTAGTTAATGCTGCTCCATGTGAAAGCCCGCAGGTGATGGAGATTTACCGCTGATTAAATCGCATGCGATTTATCGTGCAGCCCTATGAATGCATTGACCCCTGCAGCAAAGATTAGGATATGCTTCTGAACAAACCCTGAATTCTG